TGTAGTGATGATGGATGGTGTTATATGTTGTGATGATGGATGGTGTTATATGTAGTGATGATTAGACAATAAAATAATAACAATTTAATGCCAAAAAAATATACTTTGCTGTACCGTTGTAGTGGAACTTACATACACCGTTAATGAACTATTGATGGAAGAAGAAGTTTTGGGGACTGAACAGTGAGACAATGTGGAGCCTCCCGGGGGGTGGTGTCCTACCGTGGACTAGCGAATGAGCCGCCCGGACCAAACTTGCCATGGATAGCAAGTGTCATGTGGGGATCCCATAAAAACTCCAACCAATCCGATCCGACACACCCAAATCGACCCGACCCGTTAAACCACACAGAGGTTGAAAAGTCATATCACATCCCACGTATTATAGGTAATTTTATCCTTATACATATACTACTACACGTTCACTACAACACACGTACTACACGTTCATTACAATACCAGCACCACACAGTCACTACAACTCTCATACTATACGTTCATTACAACACCATTGGACCCCAGGTCGCCTCTCAACCTCGCTCACAATGAGAATCCAGTGTGCAATATCCAAAAAAGATCGGCAAAGGCAAAACTATTAGAAAAATGCAGCTTCATAGTCTGGGATGAATGCCTCAAGGCATCATACCTTTGGAGAAGTGTTCAGACACTCACCCTACCCACAAACATGAGAGTACATCTACAAGGAGATCGGGATGCTGGACGGTTTGCAAACCTTCTACTACAGATTGGGAATGGAACTTTCCCTGTTGATTCAGAAGGACAAATAATCATTCCTCAAGGATGTGAAAATGTTGTAAAGTCCTCAACTGAGCTCACTAATATGGTCTACCCAAACATTATTCACCACTACAAGGATCACGAGTGGCTGCGTGAACGCGCAATTCTGGCACCAAAGAATGAAACAGTGGCTGAAATCAACATGACTCTACTCAGACAGCTTCCAGGCAGTGAGACCTCATTCAAATCTGGTTGATACAGTAATCGACCAGGACCAAGCAGTCCAGTACTCTGCAGAATTCCTTAATTCTTTGGAGCCCTCTGGAATGCCTCCTCACCACCTCACTCTCAAGATTGGAACTCCTATAATGCTCTTAAGAAATCTTGAACCACCAATCCTCTGCAATGGCACAAGACTGGTGGTGAAGGACATGATGCCACATGTATTGGAAGCTACAATACTGACAGGAAAAGCTAAAGGAGAGGACGTTTTTACACCAAGGATACCTCTCATCACCAGTGACCTGCCATTTGAGTTCAAGCGACTTCAGTTCCCGGTTAAAGTGAGCTTTGCCATGACCATCTACAAAAGCCAAGGACAGTCCCTTAAGATGGTTGGCCTAAACCTGGTGTTTCCTTGCTTCTCTCATGGACAGTTCTATGCTGGAGGCTCCAGAGTGGGAACTGGCAAAAATCTGTACATACTTGCTGCTATTGGCAAAACCAAAAATGTGGTCTACTTTAATGCACTACAGTGAGAAAATGTGGAGCCTCTCGGAGGGTGGCGTCGCGATTCCGTTAGTGTATATATCAACTCGTCTCAGCTCGGTGGACAACCCACCTGCTATCACCCCCCTACTACTTTACTTCCCGTTTCTACGCTTTCCTTCTCTCTCTCCTCTCCCAGGGCAAAGTCATTTGCCACTTTAGTAAGACATCTGAATATAATTGTTGTGCAAGTATTGTGGAATTGTTGTGATCAATATAAAGTGAAAAGACTAAGGAATTGTACCTGGTAGTGTGCTAACTATATAATCGAAGTGGGAGGTCCAGCTGTGAAGCCATTACCCTGTGAACAGTGTTGTGAAGAATTAGTGATTATTAAAGCAGACTACAGAGCACAAGTGTGTTTCTGTTACCTGGTGGAAGTCTCCCTGACTGTTGTTTGTCTGTACACTGATACTGGTCGTCGGGAAATTGCCGGAGATTGGTGGAACAGCCAGTGGTAATTCAAAGACACTTGTGAGATATCTACTACGGCTTCTGTACGTATGACCCTAGCCGCTGGTAACCAGTGGTGGAGGCTGGGTAAGCGGCGAAAGGAGGGTCGTAACAATATCATAGGCTAATTCTGTCATACAAGTCAATGTCTATAAATCATTTAGAACGTTTGGCCTCTGACAGTAGAGTACTCAATACAGTACATAGATGTAAGCAGTAAACTAACCAACATACCGTCAACACCTACACAAGTTAAGAAATACATTGAGTAAAATGTTTACAAAACCTCATCTGAACCAAAAGCCTGGCGGTTCTTACCCACGAAACCATTTGTCAGTTACCGCCCCTGATTCACAGACTGAGAACCTTGTCGGCTTAATAAGCTACATCAAACTTTAATGTCAGATTCATGAACTCTGTATGAAATATATGCCTTCGGTACAAATAAATGGTATTTCATTAATAAGCAGTGCCAATAATAACGGTTACCAAATTTTGGGCGGAATTTAATTCGGATGTGTAACCCATAGATTAATATGGCCAAAAAAATATAATGAACATAAAAAAAATATAATTTACATAAAAACTTACTTGCTACAAAGAGGAAGCTTGGGTGATGCAGTAGTGCTAGTGGTAGTAGTAGTAGTGGAGGTGGAGAAGTGCGTGTCGGGGAAGAGAGCAGCAGTGCGGATGGCAGAAGCATACTCTATGGAGGCCTCTTCGAACATGGTCCTAACCAATCGCGAGAGTTTGATGGGCCTCACGTAAGTGGTGGTTACCGGTGGAGATGCTGAAGTGGCCGTAATCTCCCTAGTGCTGCTCTTAACCCAAGACTGGTTGCTGATGTCAAGGTGAGATGAAGGTTGAATGGATTCTGTATAACACGAAACAAGGTTGACTGTTGTCTGACTGGTCTCTGTGTCTGCTGTATAAGGAGACAATGGTCTAAGATTGTTCAAAGGTGAATCAGTGGGCTGGCTGCTCACAGGAGAAACAATGGGTGACGTAACAGAGGATAATGAAGTTAGCTGAGCGACTTTTGCAGGAGTCGTTTGAGAGTTGTTTCTTAAAGAGGGTACAAGAATCGATGACCGTGATGGATTTACAACTGGCAGAGTGGTCGCCTCCTGCCTGCTGGCCAGAGGAGAAGTAGGAACAGTAGTTAAGAATGGAGGATGAACGACTGACGAGAAAATCGTTTTGTCTCTGCTGGCTAGAGAATATAATAAATGTTTCTTTGATGCTGAGGACACGGGCGTACTGCCTTTTTCAGTCGACTGGATTCCGGGAAGGACTGTAGAAGAGGACTTACTCTCACACGGCAACAGTGCTTTCTTATAAGACCAGCGCTGAGACCTGGTTACACTGGAGGCAATAGACGGCATGGATGAGACAGAGGGTAGGGTAGTAGTAGTGAGATCACGATAAACTTGCAGGCAGGTGACAGAGGAATTCACTGTTGTTGACATTGTAGGTTTGGAAGATGTCAATACTGGATGAACGACACCAGTAGAGGAAACTGAATAATCATCACTGCCAGGCGCACAGGGGTGACTGCTTCGACTGAATTGCGCAGCAGCTGTCTGGGAGAGATTGTTAATTCTCGACTGGCTGACAGTTACAGCACCACCACAAATATCACTGTCAGATGTGGTCAGCAGATTAAAAGTAGGTGTGAGTACATGCCGAGGGATGTGGGAGACGGTGGTAGTGGTAGCAGTGGTGGTGGTGGTAGCGGTGGTGCTAGTGGTGGTAGCAGTGATGGAGCTGAGGTGATGGTACCCTGGTGGCGGGGCCTGGCAGGTTTTCGACAGGACAGCAGCGCTGGTGAATATGCCAGGAGAGAGAACAGAAGTCTCACTCAACGCCATCACGCCCTCCTCATCTCCTCCCATCGACATGACCTGGAAGATTAATAACGGGTTAATATATCCAACCTGAACATATGGGGAATGATCCTATCTACAAAAATTACTCACGGACACGGATTCATCATACATTACAAATATTCCCAATGAAAGTATTTCTACCTGTAAAAATAAGCACGAGGAATAATTGTCCTGCATGGATAATTAGTGATAAATAAATATTCCATTAAGATAACACATTAAATTACAGATACATATAAAATTGATTTTTTTTTAATTAATCACGCCCAAAAAGCGGTTTAACACTAGGCTACAAATTGTTGTAGTTTCACTCGGCTACAATAAATTAATACAGTTCCACTCGGCTACAATATATTATTGTAGTTGCACTCGACTACAAAAGATTAGTGTACAGTTCCACAAGACTACAATAGATTGCGGTACACTCCAATATGCCATTAAAGATTGGTCTTGTGTATTTTCACTATGCTGCTCTACATAAAGCTCCAACAAGTATTACCAGTACTTGGCAACGGTAACAGACGTGACCGACCATCCCAAACTCCAACAGTCCTTGTCAGTGGCGAAGTTAAAGTAATCACTGGATAGTTCTCCCCTAGCTTCACCTAAAATTAACCGCCCTAACACTTCGCGGGGGTGAGGATAGGATAGGTTAGGAGAGATTAGTCTAAGATAGGATAGACTAGAATAGGTTAAGATAGCATGGTTAGGACAGAATAGACTAAAATAGGATAGGGCATATGTTAGGATAGGTTAAGATAGATTAGGCTAAAATAGGATAGGTCGGAAAAGGTTAAGATAGGATACGTTAGGCTAGTGTAAGGTAGTTTAATCATCAGGTGAAATAAGCTTAGGGGGGATAACCTTCAGGTAAAGACAGAATCACAAACCCAAGACCATCCCAGTCTTACAGCTTAACAATATTATTATTAGACTTTGTCCGGGTAACTTACGACTTAGAGTCCACCTCAAATTCCAAGCTTCAAAAATAATTGGTATTCTGATAGTGTGGTATATACTGTATAAATAGTGGTTATTAATTTATATAAAACATATTTTCTAACCAGGAATTTATATATATTATTATCTGAACGTGAATTCATATAAAACTATTTAGCTTAATTTGTGCCGATCATGGATATACACATATACAGGTAGATTTTCACTCTGAATTTATATTAAGATATTTACTGATCATGAATTTATATAAAAACATATGTTGATCATGAATTCATATAAAATTAAACATGGAAGATAATTTACGAGCTACCAACACAGACAGACTCACGCGTTACCAGATAGATTTTAAGAATTACCAGCATTTAACTATAAGATCTACCAAACAAACCAACAATACTTACGCTAACAGGTACGCAGTTTTTAAGTCACATGTATCTAATTATTAAGGTTTCAGAATTATGCTACCTCTAAGTTAATTTTCTTACAGTCGACGTGGAAAAGCGGAACTCGGACGAAAAATTCTTCACATTCTGATAAAATCTCAGAACTGAGTTAACAGTTATGGCGGGAAACTGGCATCGGTCATTTTACCTTACGTTGGTTCATATTTTTTTTTTTTTTTAATTTAGAAAAAATGACTTAACATTTATATATGATGATGGAATCCTTGTGTTAGTGAATTTGTTTCGTCTCTGAAAAGAACATTTTTTAATAAAATTCGTAAATGGTGAATAAAAAATAGATTATTTTCTAGTTTTTAGTATTCTATTCTCCATATATATATATATATATATATATATATATATATATATATATATATATATATATATATATATATATATATATATATATATATATATATATATATATATATATATATATATATATATATATATATATATATATCGTATATATATATATATATACATATATAATAGTAGTAGTATATATATATATATATATATATATATATATATATATATATTCATATATATATATAGTGATGATGGATATTGTTATATGTAGTGATGATGGATGGTGTTATATGTAGTGATGATGGATGGCGTTATATGTAGTGATGATGGATGGTGTTATATGTAGTGATCATGCATGATGTTATATGTAGTGATGATTAGACAATAAAATAATAACAGTTTAATGCTAAAAAAATATACTTTGCTGTACCGTTGTAGTGAAAAACATGGTGGAACTTACATACACCTATAATGAACTATTGATGGAAGAAGTTGTTTTGGGTACTGAACAGTGAGACAATGTGGAGTCTCCTGGAGGGTGGCGTCCTACCGTGGCCTAGCGAATGAGCCGGGTGGCGTTTCTGGTAGTGTATATGTGTATATATATATATATATATATATATATATATATATATATATATATATATATATATATATATATATATATATATATATATATATTAGGCAAGGCTCTTAAACCCTAACACCTACTCAGAATAAATTATAACAAGCTATAAACCAATCACATATATGAACCCAGGATTTCAACTGTAGGATGTTAAAATCTGTAGTCTCCAGCGACAGTGGTGGTGTCGCCAAGCGGCCGCTACATATAAAACTTTTTTTTTTTCTTTCTTTTATCCTCTTCACCACTGATCAGCTCCTTAGCCGCTTGGGCGATCCGTCACGTCTCTGTCACGCACTGTTGGCAAGTACTGAGCATGCACCGGCTTCTGAATGTACCTGAACCCGCTCCAGTGTTGGTCAAGTCTGGTCTTAAAAGAGCTTACACTCGGTGCCGTCACAACACACTGGTAGATTGCTCCAAGAGTTCACAACTCTCACTCCGAAAAACTTTGCCCTCACAGTCTTCTGAACCTGCGGCTTCTCAATCATGAGTTGTGACCCCTTGTGGGGCGAGCGTCCGCCTGCTCCAAGTAAGGACACTCGACCGAGTTGTGCCCCTTGTGATGCTTATACACCTCAATTAGGTCGCCCCTTGCCCGTCTGTAGTATAAGCTAGGCAAGTTCAGGCGTGTAGCATACTGTATGTGGCCGGTTGTTCAGATTTCTCTATGTTTGTCTATTTTCTCTTTGATAGGTTCACATACATACGTACATGTAAGAGATCTCACACTAAGGATGGAAGTAAGAAGTGAAACTCACAATAGCATTCTCTGTATATATATATATATATATATATATATATATATGTATTGTAAGTGCAGTGCGGTGCTAGGGAGTTGCTGTGTGGTGAGGAGCTTGCTGAGAGGTCTTGTTGGGTGAGGAGCTTGTTATGAGGTCTTGTTGGTTCTGGAGAGTAGAGTGACCTCCACGGCTAGGCCGAGGTGTATTTATACGATTCTCCAGGATCAGAGAAGCGAGGTGCGAAATGAGTGGCGCCAATCACCGCGCAGTCCGTGAGTGAGGCCTGGTCTGTGGAACTCGCTGCTGATTGGCTGGTATGCGAATGGCAAGTGATCAGTCAGCAGTTGTAGGGGAGAGTATCCACTACAGTACTACCCCTCCCCTCTGAGTGCTGCAGGAAACTTGTTGTCGGCAGGGTTGTATCCCACATGCGAGACATAACAGGCGGGGGTGTGAATCAGTCGGCTGCTACGGGAGACGAATTAGTCGGCTGCTACGGGAGATGACTCTGTCTAGTGACGCGGAATCTGTGGGAGAAGGAGGGTTGTAGAGGAGAGAAGGTTGAACAGGCAAGGAATGTGGTGCTTCTCTCGCGGCAGGTGCAAAGTCCTCAGGGGCGCCGGGTGGGGTGTCTGGGTCCATAGGGGCGGCTGCAGGATCCTCATCAGGAGCAGTAGGTATCTGAGGATGAAAAGAGGGTACCCAGAAATGTTGTGGGCGAGGTGGTGCTGCAGGCGGCAAGGGTGGGCAGACTGGCGAAGAAGGTGCGGGATGAATGTGTTCAGAGCGATGGGAAGGCCGGCATGGGGCAGTAGCCTTGAATGCAGAACTGCCTGTCGTAGTGTTTGTAGTAGGTCGTGACGGGCAGCAGGAGTGAAGTGGTTAAGGTCAGAAGTAAGGCATGTGATGTGCTGCTTGATAGTGTCGGAGGTTATGGCGTCTACCAATCCCGTTGACGTCGCTTCCTCGTGTAGTCGCAAGGAACCTCACAGCGTCTAACGTTAGCACCAAAACGTTGATGGTACCAACAGAAGGTAGGTACACTGCGCTGGGGGCTGATGGGGGAGTCTGAGGCAGGACGGGGGTGTTGGGGTCGGTAGGACACAGTGAGTGGGGCAGGAACAGGAGCAGCAGCAGGCATGGAGGAGCAGAGCTGCTCGAGGGTGTCCATTCTGTGGTGTAGAGATTGTTGCAGGTCCTTCAAGTCTTGTTTGTCTGGTGGAATGCTACTTCTCTGAGGAGCGTTGATGTGGTTGACGAGACCGGAGGAAAGTGACGGTGTGGCCGCTGAGTTGTTTGCGACAGCACGGCGCACAGCAGCATATTCGTGTTATACTCTGTCTGCCGTGGCTGCATAGGTCGCCGAGGTAGTAGAGTAGTCCAATGCCGAGAGGACGAGACGAACTTCTGCAG